AAATATACCGTCAGATGTAGCACGTTTTGAGCTTTTTTTCTATATATAAGAAGTTAATAAATTAAAAAGGTCTTGCAATAAAAACTACAAAATACCAAAGCGAGAAAATCTTTGGAGCTGCACAGTATATCACGACATTATACACTTCTTACGACCAATAAAAAGTACAGTGGACGTCATAAGTCTCGCATCACTTTTTTGTTTTGAGTAGTGCATTTAGACTACACAATCTTAACTCAATTTGATTATATATTCTTGTAGCACAGATCGGGTACTATCTGTATACATCTGTTTCATACGAAAAGCTCTTGAATATAAAATACAATAGACACAGCAAACTTTATTTCTACGTAAAAATATGACACAAAAAAAGGCAAAGTGATAATTAACATGTGTAGAATATTTTTTGTTCGCGATAGAAATTTGTTTATCCAGCTTTTGTTGAGCTTTTCACGCTGCATCTTTTGAAAGAAAAATCAAGGTGCTATCACTTTCTCGAGTCGAGATATATGCAAAATATGAAAGTCCATCGATCATTTTTATTAGATGAAAAGTAGCACTGCTATGCACTTTTTTCACTTCGAGTGCGAAAGAAATCATCAGTATAGATGAATAGGGATTTGTTTTTACAATTTTTGTAGTACTTTTCAAGACACATCTTTTGAAAAAAAACCAAAGTTTTATCATTTGTTTGTGCAGAGATATATGCAAGACAATTTATACTACTAACATTTCGGGACATAGTGTTTAATATTTTGACTATAAAACTGTCAGTTCTGCACAGCAGTGTCACATATCCAGAATATCGGAGAAGCTGGAGAAGCCTGTGAAGAAGTTGGATATGCCAAAAAAAGTTAAATAACAACTGCCTCTGAGCTATGATTCTAACGTCTCTTCTCTACGGAGAGATGTGGGATCTCCAGTGGTGGCATCTCCAGCTTCTCCCCATGAAAAATTTTTCCTATTTTTGGGGCTAAGGGTCGACCGGGAGATACGTCTCCCTGTGGAGATGCGGCATCTCTTACAGGGACGCCGCATCTCCAGGCACTTCTCTACGGAGAGATGCCGCATCTACCGTGCTCGCATCTCCAGCTTCTCCCCATGAAAATTTTTTTCCATTTTTTTGGGGCTAAGGGTCGACCGGGAGATACGTCTCCCTGTGGCGATACGGCATCTCCAGGCACTTCTCCGCGGAGAGATGCGGCATCTCCAGTGGTGACATCTCCAGCTTCTCCCAATGGAAAACGTTTTTACGATTTTTAGGCCTAGGATACCCTCGGAGATACATGTTCCTAGGAAGATGTCCTGTCACTTCTGTACGGAGAGATGCGTATCTCAAATGGTGTCTTCGCTGGCTGGAATCTTTTTTTCGATTTTGAGGCCTAGAGTGCGCAGGCTGGTACTCCTCCCTAGTGAGATGGCGTCTCTCGAGGAATTTCTCTTAGGCGTATCGAATGTATAAATGTTCATTGGAGCAGTATATCGTATTTGTGATAGCTCCCATTGGATACAAGCCGGGACTACTGGTAGTGTAAATACTTGCGCCCAATGAAATTACAGTCAGGGTGGATTTATTATCAAGGATTGGTTCTAGTCGACACAGCAGTGGAAGAGATCCTGTATTTATGGACGTTTGGAATACAATCTTCTATGGGAAATGTTCGGTGCTGAATGCATGCTTTAATCTATAGTGTGATCAGTCCTCATGATACTTTCGATGTTGAGTGCTACCTGCTATCTGAGGAGTTGCGTGCTCTGTATAGTTGTCAATTTACTAACATGTTAACAGAGAGCTATTTGACCAAAGGACACTTGTGAACTTGACAAGAGGAGGATCAGTTACACGCACTGTCTTTGTGTTATAATTGATTATGCTCAACCTTCAAGCGGATGCCACTCGTTCCCAGTCAAATCTTTATCATAAGACTGTTACTCAGACACTGCAGCTGGCCTCCACTTTAGTCGAGATTACAGTAGCATTCAGCCTTTCGATATGTTCATGAAAGAAAGCTTTATTCAATGTAATAGAAGTAACATTTGAGCGATCGCTATATTTTTCCTATGAAAAGCACGTGTTCATAGCTTCATTTTATTCGTTGTCCATCCATTGATTTCCATCTAAACCACACGACTGCATAAATTGTACGGCTCCGTCGAGACCATCGTCAATTTGGTGCACGTATGTCGATGTGAAACTTGTTTCGTTCTGATTGATGTTGATACTGAAATTCAGCTGCAAAAAAAAACGATGAGGCAAAACTTTCTACCATCAATGAGATGATCAATACCTGAGGAGCATTGTAATTGATACCGCATTGACGACAATTATGATATCGACATAAAATAATCAGTAGAAGGTTGTATCGGACAGCCGTCGTATTATTCAAGATAGGAGCATAATATTTCATACCACGATTGATTTGTTCCCATGATTCCGTATTAACATTCAAAATATCATCATACGAGTCCGGAATCAACTCAACGTGACATCGAGGCTACAAAAACAAAAGCAACATTACTCAAATTCACCTTCAACAAATAAACATTTCCGAAGCGAAACATCACTTCATTTAGGGTGGGTGTGAGTGTGTGGGTGTGGGTGTGAGTGTGGGTGTGGGTGTGAGTATGGGTGTGTGATGGTGTGGGTGTGGGTGGATGTGGGTGTGGGTGTGGGGTGGGGGTGGGGGTGGGTGGGAGTGTGGATGGGTGAAGGAAGGTTCCCAACTAAACCTACCCACACCCACCCACACCCGCCACCCACCAATGTCAATATGTAGTTTATTTGGTTTAAGGGTGTGGGTGTGGGTGTGGGTGTGAATGTTCGTTTAGCTGAAGAGAAGACTCACACCTTACACTCACACCCTCAAGCTTACTCAGTGCTTATATTGGTAATAAATCTAAAGAGTGCTGGAAAAAGAAATAAAAAGTTACTATTATCAAACCAAGAAATAGAAAGGTAAGTGTTTTTTTCTGTCAATAAATAATGTTATTTTTGTTATGTAGAGTAAATCGAATCACATATCAAACACTAAATATTGATTTTGAAATAAATCATATTATATTCTTTTTTTCATATGAAGTCGAACAACACATCGAATGCTGAGTATTTATTGCAAAATAAATACTGACTATGTGATTTGTTATTTTATTTGATCAAAATAAGAAAAATAATTCTATTTATTTCAAACTAAATGGTTTTTACATTTGCTTTTGATTATATCAAACAGCATGTTAAAAGTATTTAATTCTAAAATAAACAATTGTTATTTTTTCTACATCAATGCGAGTACGACCTGAAACGCAGAGTATTTTTGCAAAGGAAAAAACGGATTTCATGTGTTTATTGTGGGAGAGGATGTTTCTCCCTCTTAAATGAGAAGGAGCATACGTAAATACGATTGCTTACTACGTCGGATGCAACCATACACGTTCGTAATTTATATTATTCACGATCAAGTGTTGGTGTGAACTATTCCTCTCGAATCATACCCGCATTCTATACACTTCAACATTTTTTATAGATCGTATCCCACAACAATAACGACCTCTTTTCATCAATGCTCTCGAAATGGGCTAATAATAGTTTAGAAACTTAGAGGTATTTGTGGAATAGATTAAGAGAAAGTTTCGCTTTTAAAACCTTGTTAGTCTCAAAAATTCCTTTCGCACGAATATGAAGTAAATTTCACTTTCCCATCCTCTTACATTCTGTCCTTGATAAACAATAGTACACGACTCCAATCTTCTTCAGTTTATTTAGGAAAGAGAGATATTCTTAGAGAAGAATAAACTCGCTTTTTCGAACTCAAACATGATTTTTAAGCATGTAGGAAGAGTGCAAAATGCAAACTTGCGTTTTTTTTCATTCTGAATATCATCTATGAAGTGATATTGGATTCGAAATGGTTAAGCTTTTTCTTTTATCAAAAACTTGAGCTCGTTCAAGAACAACTGATCGTACCAAAAGTGCTAGAAAATCTTTATTCGAGTCTAAGGTGTGTGTGGGTGTCCGAGGCAAAAGATCTTTTGTTCTCGAACGCTATGGCGTCTACAAATCTTCACTAACATCGCCGCCCTTACATAATCAAATGTCAAGCGATGATAATAGCAATTTTTTCCTGTTTTAAGATCTATAGCTGGCATTCCATCACGTATTCACATTTGAATAGTTTCTAGTCTAACGAACTAGAAACATAAATTAAATGAGAGAGACTTGTTTGTTTCAGAACGAATCTGAAACCACTCATCTTTGTTATTCCTCTAATTTACATTTTGACTTCCACCCAATAAACGTCATATAACATGCATTTTATCGATATTTGGCTGGGCGTTGTTTTATTCAGCATTAGCAATGGGCTAAACAGCATTAAGCGCAGGTAGGAAAACATGTAGAGAAATAGGTATAGATATCTTTTACTGTTGAGTTGAAGTTCGCTTGATAGTCTCAGAGAAGAGATAAAAAATGGACGCATACCAATGCAAGGTGTCAATCTTGGTGGTTGGCTCGTTGCCGAAAACTGGATGACAAAAGGGTCGCCGGCCTGGAATGGAGTTCCTGATGAGATTGCCCACAAGGGCGAATATCAAACGATGCAATATCTCGGTAATCATCGCTTCTCAATTACTTCATAAACCGTCGTTCTTCTTTCGTTAAGGTCATGCCAAAGGTGATGATCAATTCAAACAACATCGCGACTCATATATCACTGAACAAGACTTTCATGATATCTCTGCCGCCAAAATGAACACTGTTCGAATTCCTGTTGGGTACTGGATCACGGGCTTTGACAAAAGCGGTGGTAGTGATTCAAATGGATGGCGAATGTTTGCTCCTAATGCAATCAATTATCTCGATCGAGCCATTCGAGAATGGGCACCAAGAAACAATTTGGTCGTTTTAATTTCATTTCATGCTGCCAAAGGTAGTCAGAATGGAATGGATCATAGTGCCTCATCTGATCCAGGAAAATCCCACTGGGGAAACTATCCGGAGAATGTTCGAAACACCTTGGATGCTGTCGAGTGGCTAGCAAGAAGATATAATGGCGATGCGGCATTTCTTGGCATTGGTTTGCTCAATGAACCATCAGGTATATTCTTCGCACTTTAAATTTGTCATTGCATCACTATCTCATGGATAGGCACAACCACGGAAAGCGTATTAAAACAATACTATTATGATGCCTATGGACGTATTCGTCTTTTTTCCAGTTGCCTTCTTGTCATCTCTCCTTTACTATATCAGCAGGGACCTTATGACAGCAATTGGAATAAGTTCATGCCATGGCCCCATTTTAATAATGTTCGTCATGAATGGCATCGTTATCAAATTTGGGGTTTTGAGGTAAGTCAAGTTTTTTACCCACTAGTTTTTTATACTCTTTTATGCACAGGGTTGGAACGAGGATCGACTGATTCATTATGCACAGAACGACCTAAAACATGCTGTACGTGCATGGACAGGCAACTGGTTATTCATTGGAGAGTGGTCCATTGCATCATCGGCCAATTTCGACAAAGAAGATGATCTGCATCGCTATGCTCAAGCTCAACTTGAAGCGTTCAAAGGAGCTATCGGTGGTTGGACCTATTGGACATGGAAATACTACAATGATGATGGCTCACGAAATGGATGGAGCATGAAAGCCATGATCAATCGAGGTTTCATACGACTTTAATCAGTAGTTGGCAGAGATAAGCCAGCAAACAGAATTCTCTTATGCAAATCGATATTCTAAAATCATACAATATTCTCGCTCTCACTCTCTCTCGCCTTTTTTAATCAATCATTAAGATATGGATGGAGGTAGGGGCAGAGGTGAGTGTGAAAGATGTCGTGCGACGTGTGAGATGAATCTAGGTATGGGTGTGGGTGTGGATATGTGTGGTGTAGGTCTGAGTGTGGAGAATTGATTATATCCACACCCATACCCACATCCTAAAGAAATGGCAAATAAGAGTATTCAGAGATCGTATTTTTTTGTTGGATATATCGAACTAGCGGAGGTACCCGATGTTAGTCGAGATAATTTAATAATATATACTTGACATATTAGAAAACAATATCGTTATGATCTCCAATCAATTTTCGGAATTCGATATCGCAAAATATGCTCAGATTACTTTCCGTTTTCAACTGATGTTTTCGTCATTTACAATTTTTTAAAAACATTTCTATCCTTTTCAGTGTTCTTTTTGTTTGATCGACTACTTTTATTAGAAAAGACTGTTTGATTAAATATAACGTCTATTTCAAAGCTGTTTGATACACAAACTTCTTGGTTTTCACATCAAGGGCTAAAACATAGAAATTCTTTCCAGTTCCAACTCTCGAGCATACTACTTTAAGTTGATCATGAGAAAAGAAAGAACTCTCTAGATTAATACCAACCATCTTAAACAATTGCTCCTCAGCGTTGTTGCTGGACATCGCGAAGGCAACAGGTAAAGGTAACTGAAGACGCTTGAACTCAAACAGTATATCAGTAAGAGCCATGACTGTTCCCGATATGAATACATGGTCACTCTTTACATAGCCTGTCAAAATTCTTTTTCTTAACGTACATTAGAGATAGAGATAGAGATTAGGGAATTTTCGATTTTTACAACCTGGGTAGAGTTACGCCCAGTTGCCTTCCTTTCCTTGTTTGTCGCGCCAATCTCGTCTCAATTTTTCTCTAGACTAAGGGGCATACCAGAGAATGTTTGATGACGCTAGTTATTACCGACATCGAATGCGCAAAGAAGTGAAAAACAATCGTCGTTGTTTATATAAACAGAAGAGGATATGGACTTCCATACCCTATACTCATATTCAGTACTTGAATCCCTTATTCGAACTCATTGCCTCAGGAAGCCCTTACCTAACTTTTCTCCTGAAAACGCAAATTTGATTAGCTGGCTTCGTGGAAGCTGATTTCTTACTGGCTTCCGGACACCCAATCAGATTTCGAGGCGAGCGGATCTCAGATTCTAACCGATCACGTCTAAAACCCCCTGCCTCATCATTCTCATGAAAGTATCAGTGTTTGAGTCCATTTTCTTAAGGGCTAAATTCCTATTGGTTGCCAAACATTCAATCAGATTTTGAGACGAATGAACCCAGATTCGAACCCACTACCCCTAAAAACCTCTTGCCCAATTATTTCCTTGAAAGTATAAGCATTTGGGTCTATTTTCTTAGAAGTTGAGTTCCTATTGGTTTCCGAACAACCAATCAGATTTCAAGGCAAATGCGTCTCAGATTCAAACTCACTGCCTGTAAAAACCCCGTGCCCCATCCTTTCCTCCAAAGTATAAGCATTTGGGTCTATTTTCTTAGCAGCTGAACTCCTATTGGTTTTCGGACAACCAATCGGATTTCGAGGCAAATGGACCTCAGATTCGAACTCACCGCCCTCGAAAACCTCCCGTTTCATGTTTTCTGTGTGTTCACAAAGTGGTATTCAGTGGTAGTTCTATAGCGCCGAATACTGCAATCTGATTGGTTAGCAACATAGGTAGACTGTTCCGGGCGAAGGATCAAGTGTTTTTGAAAAAAAAAGTAGACCTTGACCTTTTCCTGGATGAGAGGAGAATTCCTGGAAAGTTTGGTGACCATAGCTATTACAGGGACTGAATGCATAACGAACAAACAGACAAACATTCTTCTTTATATATATAGATAAATGTAAAATAGCGTATCTGCGGCTGAAAATCTTTGCTTTAGTCGGCAATTGAGCTTTTGACCTGAAGAAATACCGTCCATAGATGGGGTTTGGGTGTTAATGTGCTCGTCACCTATACCTACACCCACACCCACGCCGACCTACACCTTTGAAAGAAGCTGTGATATAAAAATTGAATGATGCAGTCAAACTAATTTAATAAAAGCTTGTTTTACAAAATCGTTCATATTTAACTGATTTTTTTGTGATGTGTCTTGTAAAATTACACATGTCTTTGACATTATTAATAATTATACCATATTTTAGAGAATTAAAAGATAGATCTGTAAAAAAACTGAAATCTGAAGAAATGAATATCCAAACAGATGTGATTGAAGCAGGGAGGTCCATTCTTCCTACAATAACGGTTAGGATTGAGTTGAACGAAAAGTTCAAACAAATATGGGACAACCACGAAAAAGTGCATGAACGCGACCAATAACTGAAAAACATTACAGCATCGTTTTGGCTTAAATAAAGTCAGTAATAGATGTCAGTGTCATATCTGTCTCAATCCTATCCAATATTCTCAGCATCTTGACACTAAGTATATAACAATCAAAATAATTTCTTTTGCATTTCGAACCTTCCTAGTAAGTTAGTTACTATGATTAAATTATTAAAGTCACCAAGTTCTTCGTATTTGAATGGTGTGTTGGTGTTGATTGGAATATTGTCTGCGCCTTACATCGCTGGCTTGTTCGTTTCTTCAAATGATTCGTATCTTACTTTTGCAGCATGTCTCACCGTTATCTTCTCTGCTGTCAGCGTTTGCCTTCTTTTTTATTCTTTCTTTTATTCTTATCAAATAAAAACTTCATGACACAAACTGCACATACGAACAATAAAACATTCATCTAAAGATAAGACAACCACTGAAGACAAAGAAGCAAAGAAACTCATACTTGTCCAACGCCATTCACTTTATATAGAGTAAACAGGTTGGTATTGGTTTTTAATGATTCGATTACTGATAGTTAATAGAACACAGCGGTTCAAAAAAATCCCTGTATTTCATTTTATATTGAAATAAATAAAACTTATATTATGAAGAATATGAGGCAGTTTTCAATAAGCTAATACGATAATTGAACATTGCCAGTGTAATTCATGTTTCAATTTAAATAGATATTTAAAAAGATTCGACACTTTATTTGATTTCTCTATAAGAAAAAGACGGAAAAGGAAAGGGTTTAGCTTGTTCATTTAAAGTTTCACCATAAAAGTATTTACATTCCAAAAGAAATATGTAGGACGAAAATTGATTTATTTTCTACCTAATTGTTCTGAGAAAAAACCAATCCTTTAAGATAGTTTAATGTGAGTGAAAAAATCGAAATACTGGATATAGACTACTTCTAATTTTGGTGGATATATGCGGAGTGTTATTAAATGTGTTTTGTCAGCTACGAAAAACTCAGAAAGATTTATGATACATACAGTAATTTAGATGTATCCTGAAATTTTATTTTGATATTTTCAGATAATCAAAAGATGCTTATGGATATAGATGAACTCGATATTTAAAGAAATCTTCAATAATTTCTTGATAATTTAATTTGATGCACACGAAAACATGCAAAGAAAGTGAAAAAACTATTTTATTGAACAGAAAATTGAATATTTCTACTTTTCATAAAATTATTTGTGACATTAGTAAAATAAACAGAAATATGGTCTTTTCACTGCAGATTATGTGCGTACATACTATCTGTATCTTGATAAGACTGTAAATTACTAAACACAAATTTTAAAAACGTATCTATTCTTCATCTTAGAAACAAAATGATCGAGAAGAATGAATTTCTTAAATATCATATGTTTTATTTCGCATTTTTTTTCAAATTGTAATCATTCAATTTTAAGAAGAAGATTATGGAGATCTTTTGTATTGAGTACGAGTTATTTTCAAAAAAAAATTTAAAAAGGAAAAGGAAACCCTTCAAAAAACCTTTACCATAAAATGAAATTATTTCCTAATCTCCTTTTTTGTACTGTATGATAATTGAAGAAAAGATATCTTTTGATCCATTGTGAAATTTTAACAGTTGGACTAAAATAATTCAAAGCTATCCAAGAAAATTCTTCTTGAATTTCTTCAACCATTGTATTTATCACATTCATCTCAACATTACAAACGGCAAACGACGAAGATGAACTTCCTAGAAAAAATAATCCTAATTGAAAATTATAAGAAGATCTCCATTCATCTTTTAGAATTGAATCATTCCATTTGAATTAACCAAAGTATAATCACCTAGTAAACTTGTTTTAGAGAAATAAAAAGATTTCGAGAAAAATATTGAAATACGTATGATAATGAAAGAGATTTTCATATAAGGTATTTCGAAATCGTCAGTAGATATAATTAACGAATAATAAACGATAAATTTCCATGCTAAGGGAGAACGTGAAAATGTATTTTATTCTCAACATTTTATGGTTGGTACACTTTCAAGAATGCTTATCCAAAGCAGTAACAACACCGTTATATACACATAGATTAATGATTTATATTCAAATAATGGAAAAGAAAAAATTATTCAATACAACAACCTATAAATGCATTCATTTTGATAGTCGAAATGATTGAATAGTTTTTAGTATTTTGTAAAGAATAGGTAGAAATGGTAGTGAACGTATTAGATTATTTTGCCACAGCAATAGAATTACGGTTTGTTTAGATGAGAAGTGAACTAGCTCTTCAGCAAAGCCTTTTTTCAACATCATGTTCTACTTCTTATCTGTATGAATATATCAAAGTGTTTCTAATTCACTCGTTAATCACTTAGTGCATACATATTTATTTTTATTTTCTTATGACGTTTTCTTGGCATACTTTTTTCTCTTTCAATTTTCTTGGGAGGTGATGATATTATGTCAGAACAAACATTCTCTTGTTTTAAGAATGTTTTCTCGTCTTCTTCGGCATCATTACATCATGTTTATCAACATTCTTTCTCATTCTTCTATGGTATTTTCTTGCAATATAGAGAGAGATATGGGACTGAAAAGGGGAATATATGCACTTTTAAACTTTCAAGGAAATTATTAAATAGATTTGTATTACATTTCAGTTATCGAGGATATTTTATAGTCATTAGAAATACTCAATACTTGACAGAGAATAATAAACTTTGTTTTATATTGATACCTATGGCGAATATATCATGATAAAATGACTGCATCACAAGAATCAATTAATGCTAATCATTTTCTTAAAAGAAAAATTTAATAATTGATTTTTATATTATCTAGATAGAAATTTCAGATAGCGTTTAAGTTTATAGATGAATATTATCTCTTTTTTATTTATTTTTCATACGCCAACAGCATTTTATTGACAGAGATACCAAAATAACAATTGATATACTTGAAGTTAGTCGATAAAGAGTTAACTATTGTTGTTCTATGAAAGTTATCTTTTCAATTTTGAGATGGACGGTACTCGTTTTGCATGTCTCAAACAACATAGAAAAGGCTTTTTTGACGTTTCAAATACCACATAAAGAGCTTATGTCATCAATATTGAAAAGTTTTTTAAATATTCAAGACACAAAATTCATTCTGATTGTTTTTTTTTGCCAAAAACGATTATGTATTCTGGTCTTACTTGTTAATGACTTCGGTAGCTGAATGAAAGATATATTTGTGAATCAGTTTTTGAAGAACTATTACGAAATCAAAAAGAAACTTCACTACTTGAAACTGTTATTTTGCTTGGGTTACTTCTACTGAAACACTCAATATTATTATGCTTTTGATGTATTTTTTTCTTCAAGCACTTGAAACTTCGATGAGTATCGACGGATCTAAAATCATTATCAACGAAATTTAGAACTTCTTGTATAACAAACATCTTGGCTGAGTCTCATTCCATATGACAATGTTTTATCGTACGACCTCAAATGGGATATTTCACAAAAAAAACCGTCCTATGGTATTATAGTTCGTCTTGGACCTCTTTTATCAGTAGAAAATAGTTTTATTAAAATACGAAACTTAGCGGATAACTCGTTTGCTTACTATATAGTTTTTGCTGCATCGATATTATTATTATAGATTCGAAAAAGAACATAAAAACAAATAATAAGAACATATAAAATAATTATGTATTTATATCCAACTGAATGATTTAACAAGATGATATTTTGAAGAACGAGAGAATACACAAAAAAGAATTTATGCAGATTTATATTCATGTACAAGTTTTGTATATTATATTTGGTGTTATTGTTTCATGATGATGGCCGACATGCTAACCAAAAGCTTGGAAGAAAATTGTCAAAGTAGATTACAATTCAAATGTGTTTTGTATTACTTACCAGGACTCCATGTAAGATGTGACTAATAATTTCGCATCTATCATTATCGTAACATACGATTTGATTCAATTATTACTTACAATGGATAGTGCATCTCGGATAATTCGTCGTCTGTTGATTAATATCAATTCGATCAATTCGATTCAATAAGTTTGGCCAATGCTTCGTCTTGTTTTAGCAAAAATTCATCAAGTTATAAAGTCATTGAAAACGCAAAGACTAAATTATCTTTGGTTTGTTGACAGATTTCTAGTTTTTCAGTCAAGATATTTCGTATACAAGAAAATTATGAAATATCAAATGAAATTATGTAAAATTTGGTAATTGTAATAGAAAGAAAGATGTGTTTAGAATTTTTTCTTAAAATATTTGAGAAGTGTGAAGATCCATTAAAAGTATACAATGTCCAGAAAACTTTATAGGTTGATCATAGTTCTATTGTATTCGAAGCTTTCTACTATTGTCACAAAGAATAGTTCATCCGATAGAATCATGATGGAAATATGAATTGTTTTTTTTCTTTAGTGAATGACTTTTCAGACACCCTATACTTTATTTAATCTCAAGAGTGTACCGAAATTACAAAATCTATTAGAAGAATTTTGATAAAATAAATCAAGTCTGGAAATAATCGAACAATATTTTGAAAATCGGTCAGCAGAAAAATTGGAAAAAATATTCTGGAATTCTTCTAGGAAAGAATGAAAATTTCTCGAAATTAGGACATCTCTCATTACACTTGAATATCTTAGTTTGCTCTTATGAAATAAGAGAAATACTAATCTTTAGATGAGACTAAAAAATCTGTGTGACCATATATAGAAAGTAATATATAATACAATTGACTCTAAAATGTTAATTATTTTATAAAATTTGCTAATAACGTTGTCAGAATTTTCGGTCGTACTTAAGTAAATAGTGTAATTTTTATTTATGCACATATAAAAGAAAAAAAAATATATATGTAAGGAATGTATTCAACAAGCTTATTTACCAGTTAAATCAATGGTTAGAATAATAATAATGTTAAATTACTAAAAACAGAATACATAAATGAAAAACGACGAGCCTATAATAGTACGACAAACAAAAAATACACTATTAGTAAACGAAAAAGAAGAAAAAAAATCTGTTTCAAATGGGCAAATAAATGAGGCAAATAAATTCTCCTATAATCGATCATTCTCGAGCAACAACTATAATTTACAATGGATTTTTGAATTATATATTTCATGTCAGTATAATGAAACTAAAGAGTACTTGTAAGTTTCATACTTAAATCTCTTCAAATGCATTTATGTGTCACAATACTTACAATACCTTGATTATTTTTTTCTCCAGTCGTTGTCTTCATTAATATATATTTATTTTTTTAATTCTACGTTTACTTACATATGATTAAAATATTCTGTTCTCTTTATTTGTCTAACTCGCTCATTTTCTTTTGAACATAGTCCTTCAAGCAAAAAAAATATTTCTCGCAGGTTGTGAACTATGTCAATAATGAAAAAAAAACTCAGCTGGCGCATACTAATTCAATGGTTTTCGAATCATATACTAGACGTAATCGGTGCAGCAACAGCTTAAATTATGACAATACGATATTAAATAATAGATAGATTTTATATATTTTATTGCTTTGATGAAAAAAAAAAAGAAAAAAACTTTAGTCAATGACATAGTTTTATTTGTCATTGCTCTCAAAAGCTGCTACTCGTCGAAGGTCATAGAATTTTATTTCCTTTGATTTATAATGGAAATGGTAGAAATAAAAAAGAATTGTTGAAAAGAAAAAAACTTATCATCATTCTCGATTTATAGCTTGGTAATGACATGGGTTGTTAAAGAAAAAAAAAACATATGACGATGGTATATTGACTAACGTAAATCACACTGGCGTCTCAATGTTTTATGACACATATATATATAAACGTTACACTGTTCTTAATAGTTATAGTTATGTCCTTTTTTCTTCATCAATCCGTTCATGTTTACTCTACGTTGTTTTTTTTCGTTCAAATTACATATTTACTGTTGTATCTTTATTTGTTCTCTATGCTTAGTTTGTTAGTTGCTTAAACATTGTGAAGATAAAATTAACATAAAAAACTTTTTCTCGTCCGTAAAATACATGATGCTTTTTTAGACGAAGAGAAAAGTAACATGGCTTCTTTTCTTCTTTTCTTTTTTCTTCTATTGCCATGTCGTATTAAAAAAGCAAAAAAAAAAGAAAAAAAGTAACACAAGATAGTGTAAAATGAACTACAAGATAAATAATTATTGTAATCATTATTGACTTTTAAAATATTTCTTTTTCTTTTTTTTTGCTTCAGATAATTCGTACTACCATCATGATATTAGTAAAATCATTTTTTTGCTTATTTCTTATGATTTAATGGCTCTCGATCTAAATAAAAATCATAATTATAATTTTTGTTTAAGTCGAAAACGTTGTTTTTTAATACTTCTATTATTTAATTCTATTATTGCTTATACTTATTACATACATGGACACAATCAATCTAAACATATAGAAAATACTGCAATAAAGTCACGACATATTAATATTAACTCTAAACAAAAACAATATTCAAGTGAAACTATTCAACCTATTGATTTTATTCGAAATACACTCGAAAATGAATATAATTATGATGATTTAGTAACATTTTATAATCTTGTTCAAAAAGAATTTTCCTTAGGTTTACGATGTACAAGAAAACCAATTAAACTTGAAACAACCACTCAATATAATTATACTAATAATACACAAATCAATAATAATATTACTGAAATCAGGTATAGAGTTAAACAATGATTTTTGTGAAATATAATCTAAATAAAATGTTGAAGTTAAGGGATGAAAATTTGAAACACCCCCTCTCCTTCCGATTTTTCTCACATCACAGAGTGTTTATCAATAACGTCTTTTTTTTTTATAATATATGAACTATTTATGATATTTCTAGAAGACTCAGTAAAAAGAATGATAAGGAAATATGTTCTAAAATAGATTGAATAAAACAATTTTTCTGTCATTAACAAGAATAGTTCTATCGTCTCTTACATTTTAATTCTGCAGGAATTGCACTAATAGCTATTTTTGTTTTTTTTTTTTAGTAAAATTTTCTTTATTGATTACTTTAACTAAACCATTAATTCAATCAAAATGTTTTTATCGAATAAATTATTCAATGTTTTAAAGTAGTGAATTCTTCTTAGAAAAAAATATTCTATTGACTTAAATTCTTTAGTTTGTACTGCGATTATTACTGATAAACCTAACATAAAAAAAAAATTATCTTTGATTGCTTAAGAGTATAAGATAACATCATTTCAAGTTGTCTTGTGATAAAATAGAAACGCTGTATTTGAATCGTTTATAATTATATGCATATCACATTTTCATTTAAATCAACTGTAAAATCATGATTTTGTTTATGATAAAATAAAATGTATCAATAAACCGTTTAATATTATTTAATAGAATTATACCAATAGAAAATTGTATATTAATCATTTATAAAATTTACTTATGATATATATGAAAATGTTTTTCATTTAATATATGACATAAATTTTACTTATACAACTGAAAAGAATATTTTCTTTTTTCAATATTTTATTTGTTAACACGCTCATATAAAAATAAAATAAAGTTAGAATTAATTTATGAATATACTTTTTTTTTCTTCCGATTGCTTTAAGAAAACTAGTTTAGAATTGATTTTCCGCAATATGAATTGCTGACAAATGAACTTTTTGATTATGATCCATATCGAAAGAATCGATAAAACAAAAAAAAGATGATAGAATGTAGACAGTTAATTTACGTTTGATTTTACACATAGGATGTTTTAAAGAGATTTTCATTGATTTAAAAAAAAAAAAATCAAATGTTAATCGATTCAATGTAGAAATTAAGTCGATTTTGATTTCGTTTTGTTTTTCACATGAATATTGTCGAAAAACAAAAAAAATATTTCAAAAACCTTATTTATTTTGTTTGCTAACTAACTATATAAGTGGTCTAATAACACCTCAAGAACTTCTTGATATTTCATAGTCCAATTTCATCTTGTATACGGTTTAAATTACTAAATCTTGCACATTGCCATTTGGTATCCGTTGCAATTTGAGTTGTATTGATGTGAAAAAGGCTATATATATCACCTGAAATATTCGAGTATATGATAAAATCGAATGTCGGACAAGATGTATGCTTTATTTTAAGTTATTAAATTTCTCAAATAACTATATCATGAGACATGAGTTTCAAATGACATAATATTTCGTACGTATATTCAGACACAACTGCTATTATGAATTTTCTTCCCAACAAAGAAGATTACTGACAAGAATAATTTTACAAAACATAATAAAAACTTATAGGTGTTTGAAAATCTATTTTTCTAAAATCTAATGACTTTTTTTAGTACATGAAAAGGCAAATTTTTTTTTTTTCTTATCAAAAAAATTTAGTTTTTTGACAATTTTCTAACTATAATAATAATAATATATAATTTAGAAAACTATTAAATAATTACTGATAATATTCATTTTATAATCGAAATATTTACAATAATTTATGTTTTTATTTATATACGAAAATAAATCTAGAATTTCTCACTATTTATGATATTATATAATAGATTTACCAGTAGAAATAATTAATGAATAGAGCGAAAAGAAAACAATTATATTCATATGTTATAAGATTAATGTATTTAGATCATTATCTACAACAACAACAACAACAACAACAACAACTTCACAAATAAATCATTCATATATATCTTTATCTCGTCGTAATCATCGTACAAGTCTTTATTCATATACAATCGATAATTTTGATGCATGTTTAAATGAATCAATTGATTTACTTATTATAATTATATCAAAATCTGATAATTATAAAACTCGTGATGCTATTCGTCGAACATGGGGATCAGGTAAAAATCTTGGTAATTATTCATCAATAAATATGAAAATATTTTTTCTTATTGATTTTGATGAAAAATTAATTTCAAATATACGTCTTGAAAATAATTTATTTCATGATATAATACAAGTTGAATTACCACCACAATATACATTAGTTACATATCGTGTTTTATCTATATTTGAATGGTCATTTCGTTATTGTCGTCATGCAAAATTTTTATTTAAAACCGATGATGATATATTTATTAATTTAATATTATTATTAAAATTTATTTCACCATATCTTAAACAAAATATAAATAATTCATTTCATATATCTGATATGAATATTTATGGTTATAAACATTATCACCCGGGAGTTTTTCGTCAAGCAAATGATCCAGTTGGAGCTCGTTATGTTATTACTATGGATGAATTTCCATGTGCACATTATCCAGATTTTTTATCTGGTTTTGGTTATTTAATACCAAAAAAAGCACGAGATGCTCTAGTTTATGCATCTTATCAAGATCCAAATAGACCATTTAGAATTTCGGATGTTTATCTAACGTAAATTTTTATTATTAAAATTTTCAACAAAAAATAAATGAATAGGTTTTGTTTTTTTTTTTGTTTTAGAGGTATTCTACCAGATTATTTATCTCTTCGACGTCAACCAATGTTGGATTATAATATACGTTATCAAGGAAATTGTGAAAATTTTTTTGAACATCCAAAATCATTTGCTTGTGCTGTTGGTTTACATCATGGAGATACAAGTGATGTTTTTGATAAATTTAATCGTTATTGGCAATGTGTAAAAAAATTTCTTTAGTGCTATGTTTTAGTTAATATTCTATTTTTAAATACTTTTTGTTATATTAATTATTCTCCTTTTTTGTTTTTATTATAATGAAGAAAAGAAAAGAAAAAAAAAAAAGAAAAATAATAATAATAATAATAATAAAAAGAGAAGAAAAAGACAAAATTAATTTAATCAAATAACCTTAAGGTTAGTCTAATACTTTATTTTTCTTTGACTAGACTAAATTTTTCATTGTATTTTGTTTTCATCATGGTAATAAGGCTTCAACAATTTACACACGCACACATCAAAGAGAACACGATTTTCTTGTAATTAAAAGAGAGAGAGAGAGAGCAAAGGAAGGTCAGGCATAAAATTTGCTAAATAGGAGAAAACACGGACAAATTTAATCAAAAAAACATAGGTTGAGCGGCAAAGGTATTCAAACAGAAAAAAAAATACAAATAGAAGAAAAATTAATAAACAATCATGTTTTGTAGTATATAATGTTGTTATGAAAATAAATACTCAATAAAATTTTCTATTGAATTATTTATCTAATTTTCATGCTTGTTCAGCATGTACACTGTATGCAGCTGTTATTTCTCCTTTATCATTTGATACAGTAACATGATATTGACCTTGATCTGTTGCTAAAACAACAGGAATTTCAAGTGAAAATTCTTTTTCACCATTTATAAATACAAATCGACTTGATTCATGATCCAATGGTTTACCATTAAAATTCCATTCAGCTATTAAAAATAAAATTTTTTTTAAAATAATATTAGAATTTACGAGTGAACTATCTCAATTGTAATCTATTGAATACAGTGAGGGCTCTAAAAAGCATGTACATTTTTGTTTTTACTCATAAACGAATAATAAGGATATTCTGAAAATTTTCTCTCATATCGCACTTTGTAGAGCTTTTTTCGCTGATCATTTTGATAAAAAAAGTTTTTGATTTTCATTGAGTAATGACGATGCTATAGTCAAAATACTAAACACTGTAATATAAAGTAGGGAAACAAGTTTAGCAGACTTTTAGTATTTGGCTAATTTTTACGTCAGTTTCACAACATCTCAAAGATGTTCTATATATCATTCGACGCAGAATTTAATGGGCTACATTTTGGTAACAAGCACTTATACTTATATTTCAGTTAATTAATTAATTAATTAATAATAATTAGCAATTAATTAATTAATAATTTTTTTTGTTTTAATTCCAACTCTTTCATATGAAAGAGCATAAAAAACTGTATAATTACTATTTGGAAATCAACGAATTTATTGTAATTTTCAGAGTATGTAGTGTTTAGTATTTTGACTATAGCATCGTCATTACTCAATGAAAATCAAAAACTTGTTTTTACCAAAATGATCAGCGAAAAAAGCTCTACAAAGTCCGATATGAGAGAAAATTTTCAGAATATCCTTATTATTCGTTTATAAAAATATACATGCTTTTTTGAGTCTTCACTGTACGAATTGATAAAAATATTAAATATGTTAATTAAGACGACTCGATTAATTTCAAGTATGCCTTAGAGTAACTCGAAAGGTGAGTATTACATATTAAAAAATGAGTAGATAAAACTCTCTAATTTCCTTATAAGATTTTTATTTCTTATTTACCAGTCATTGGTGTTGATCCGGAAAGTTTACAATTGAATTTAGCTTTACCACCTTCTTCTAAAGTAGCACTTTGTGGAAATTGAACAAAGTTAGGATCAAGTGGATCTTCATCGCGAGCTTAAAGAAAATATATTAAATTCTATTATATAATATTGAAATATTTATTTACCTTGAATAATGACTGAACAACAAGCAAGTAATTGATTACTTGTTGTTTTGCTTTTTAATAAAGCTGAAAATACACCTGAATCTTCAGGAAATCTATTCAAATAAAAACAAATCCATATATTAAATATTTTTCTTTGTTTTTTTTCTTCTCCTATACATACACTTCAGCAACAATTAATTTAAATGTATTTCCTGTTCGTTCACGACGAAAATCTGGATTTTCAGGAATTTCTTTATTATTTCGTAACCATACTAATTCAAGATCATCATCAGTTCCTAAATTAAAATAAATAAAATAAAATTTTTCAAATAAAAATCTATTCAATATTAACCTTCACAAGCACATTCAAGTGTAAGTGAATCACCTTCCATTAAATTTTGTGATTTAAGATATTTAACAAATTTTAATTTTGATTCAACTGATTTTTCTTGTTGTGGTTCTTCTTCTTCTTTTTTCTTTACTTCAACTTCGTCTTTTTTCGTTTCAACTTCAGCTGGTGGTGCTGCTGCTTCAACAGGAGCAGCAGCAGCTGGTGTTGGTGGTGCTACTTCTTCAGCAGCTGGAGGAGCAGTAACTGTAGGTTTTTCTTCTGCCTATAATACATTTTAATGAAACGATTAAAAAAAAAAAGATTTAATTTCATTATATTTTATTGCTTCAAACCTTTTTCTTCTCATCTACAGCTGGCGTCTTTTTTGCTGGTTCTTTCTTTTCTTCTGGTTTCTTAACTGGCTCTTTCTTTTCTTCTGGTTTTTTAGCGGGTTCTTTCTTTTCTTCCGGTTTCTTAACTGGTTCTGGTTTTTTCAAAGCAGCAGCTCCAACTGGTTTCTTTTCAGGTACAGCAGCTGGTTTTTTAGCTAATGTAGTTTTACCAGCAGCTGGTTTAGCAGGTTCAGGTTCAGGTACTGGTGTTGGTGTTGGTTCAGCAACAGGAGTTGGTTCAACTGCTTGAGCAGATGTTGATTCAACTGACGTTGATTCAGCTGATGTTGATTTAAATGATGATGATTTAAATGATGATGATTCAACTGATGTTGATTCTGTTGTAATATTCATTGTTTCAGATGCTGAAGTAGTCACTTCGGATGAAAATTGTTCTTCAACTTTAGCAGTTGTTTCACTAGCAGCTTCAGATATTGAAGTACTAGTTTCGACATTTACTGCTTGTGTTTCAGTTTGAACAGAAACTTGATCTTCTTGAGCCATTGATGCAGTATAAACATCTTCATCGTCAGTGTGTACGTGAGCTATATTAAGATAAATTTTTTATAATATAAATTATTATATGAATTTAATATAAAATACCTTTAACTGTAATTTGTGCAGTTGATGTTTCCGAGCCTTCTTCATTATGAGCTCGGCAAGTATATTCTCCATTATCATCTAATTTTATTTTTTTAATAATTAATGTTGCCATATCATCTTCGTATGTATGTTCAATTCGAGATTCTTCAGGCAAGGGCTACAGAAATAAAGAATTTTAATTCAATACCAAAAAAAAAACAAAATGTTTGTTATGTTTACTTTGCCATTCTTTAACCATTTAATTCTTGGTGTTGGTTTACCCTTGATTTCACAGCGTAATTTTGCTGTTGCACCTAATCAATAAAAAAAAAACAAAATCTATTAGTACGAATCTCTACAAGATCAAAATATTCAAAGATATGAATCTTAAATTCAATTTTTTTTCATAATAATCTCACAATACGTTTCAAATCCATAAGTAATGCAGTGAAGTATAAAAAAAAACAATTAAATAGAAAAGGTCATGATTAATCGAATGATTTGCAAGACATAAGGAAAATATAAAAGTCTATCATGCATGACTAATAATCAAACAAAAGAAAAATATTATATAGATAACGAGAAAATTCTTATCAATTCTTCTATAATTAACTTCTGTTCATTCACAATGTAAGATATATTTTAGATAATTAATCATACCCTCGAAAACAGTAATATCAACAAGTTGATCAATAAATTTCGGTGGATCTCGACGTTCTTTACGTTCTAAATACATATATATTTTTAAATTTTTATAGAATTAAATGTTTTGTTTTTTTTTTTGAAGAATAAAAAAAAAACAACAGAATTTTTTACTTGGTTTTTCAATGTCGAGTGATTCACGTCGAGCAGGTTTTTCACCGGCACCTAATTTACTGCGCCAGCTTTCATCTCTGCTTGATGTACGTAAAGGTGATGGTGAATGTGCTCGACTTCCACGTCGTTGTACATCACCATCTCCTGGACGAGTTGACTGAGCTCGTCGTTTTCGACGTACTTCTACATAAAAAAAAATTTATTTTTATTTTTCATACAAAAAAAAAAAAATAAACAAAATTCTTTCATTTACCTTCGACATACATTAGACAAGTTGTTTCATCTGTGCCTAATGGATTTGTTGCAGAACAACGATACATAGCAGTATCAGATGTTTCACATGCAGAAATTTCTAATGTACATACACCATGTACATATGTTGTTACATAATGAGGATCTGCATCACTTATTTGTGTACGTTCTTTAAACCATTGCACCTATTTTTCAAAAAAAAAAAAAACAATACTTAATTTATCTTTTAAAAAAACAAAATAGAATTTACTTTTGGTGTAGGTTTACCATTAACACAACAAATTAATTTACATCCAATGCCTTCTTGAATAAGACGTGGTCGAAGCATAAATGAAAATATTGGTCTAGAATCAGGTTCTTGCCATAAATCAATTTCATTATATACTATATGTCGTGATTGACTAATTTCACGATGTTCAATAATGGGTGTTACAGGTAAAGCTAATTAAATTAAAAAAAAATAAAATAAAATAATTATTTTTTTTTTTTTCTATTCATTTAAAAATCTTTTTTTTTTTCTTAATGTTTATCAGAATAGTTATGTATGTGCTTACAATAGGATAGAAATGAAAGAGGTCGATGAAATAATCGTCGATAGAGTAAACGAAATATTGATGGTGATTCATATTTATAATAACGTGTTGATCCACGTGAATATTTCAAACGATTTAAAGATGAACCATAATAATTATGATCCATCTCTTTATATCTTATATATAATAATAAGATTGATGATAAAATAAGAAAAAAAAAAGAAGAAGAACAACGTACGACAAATAAGCTAAATATGTCTATCTACATTGTATGAAATACGAGAGAATTTTTTTGCTATCACATATGTTAGCCTCATATTTCCTCATGCTGATTC